CGTGCATGCATATGTACATTTACATACATGTATATATATATATATATATATATATATATACATATAATAGGATATGAATGCATGTTTCTATTCATTGTTTTATTCGTCAATGAAAATTAAAACTCGTTGATGTTCTCCTGGACAGCCTGGGAGAGAGACTCGCTCGCATGCATCCTGAGGGGTGAGACGCCCTGTAGGTTCTTTTATATGTATTTGTTGTTGTATATTATTAAGAGAAGGCTTTGCACATCTGCATTTGATAATATTATTTCTGCTGGATTCTTCTCTTTTCTGTACTTGCGCTTTAAGTGTTTTAAACTCCTCCATAGAATGCCCCTGTAAGAACTGCTTCTTTTTTCTTTTATAAATACCCTTAACAAAACGAAGATAGCTTCGAGATAAAGTTGAAGGCGGGCGGGAAGGCATTGTTATTATCAATGCATCAGCAAGCAAAGGAGGGCCAGCAAAAGAGTGGTGTCGACTCCGTTGCTGCTGCTGCTGCTGCTGCTGCTGCTGTTGGTGCTCTCCCTGCTGCGGCTGCTGCTGCTGTTGGTGTTCTTCCTGCTGCGCCTGCTGCTGCTGTTTGCGGCGCTCCTTTGCCTGCTGCCGCTGCTGCAAATGCCTCAACTGCTGCCGCTGCTGCCGCCTCGCATCCTGCTGCTGCTGCTTCTGCCTCTGCTGTTTGCTGTCGCTGAATTCATCTTCGCGTTCATCATCGGCATCATTATCGTTGCTTACATCTGTGGAGAGAGCAGAGTCTATTTCTTGTTGTCTTTCGTTCTGTGCTTCAAACTCTGATAAAAGAACGCCAATTATTTCTTTTTCTACACCTTCTTCTAATCCCCACAACTCCTCACAGCTGCTGCAGACAGCCGACTGCTTCTTCTTCGCGCTGCGCTGCATTTTTCACCGAGACGCGCTTTGCAAAGGAGAGAAAAAGACAAAGTATAAACAGGTGTTTAAAGACTTTAAGAATAAATAAAAGAAATAATATACTTCATTAAAATTCAGAAACCACTAAGCCGCTCTTATGAACCACACTCTATGAGAGCTCGAATTTGTATCGAGCTGCAGAGGCAACCGCCGGTGCCCTTAGCGTGCAGCGCAGCAGCTTCTCGAGTGAAACTCCTTTAAAATGATGAAAATATAGGAGTATTTATGTTTACATAGGATAATAATATACTTTCATTCAAAATATCCTCCAATTTAAACATTTTTTGACGGAGGTTTACCTCATACGGCGCCCCATCTAATAACCACTGCTGCCGCCTGAACCGATGAACGTCAATATGCGCACATTATAAAGACTTGAATCTGCATTTTTTATCATTAAAAGGCTGTAAATTTCAGTTATGTGTGCTATGTTTCTAATAGTAATTTATTTAATATCATTAATAAGGGAAAATGATTGAAAATTCGAGCAGCTTTTCATCGGTTTCCTGTCGACGGCTATACGCAGGACCAGCGAAATTTGCTCGGCTCTACGAAGAGAAAAAAATGAATATAAACAAATAAATAAATAAATAGACAAAGAAAAATGAACATTTAAATTAATTTGCTCAATAATTCTTCTTTTATTGATGGCTTCAACGCGTTATTCTGCTTCTTCCGCCTTCTTCAGCGGCTTCAGGCGTCGATTGCCGGTGGTCTACCGCAGCGGGCTTCAAACCTTGCAGCATTTTTCTTGCATTTTCACTTCTTTTTGCAAATAATATGCAATCTAAAACAGATAGATTACATAAATAGAGTTATTATTATGAGTATTGGTGGCCTAAATGCATAAATAAATGGAGAAATTCTCCGCCGAGTTCTTTACGCCGATAGCAACTGGTCTGCATTAACCTTCAAGTCTCGTTCTTTTCTTGCTTATATATATATACGTTATATATGTATATATATAAATATATATATTATATTATATATAATATATATACAATATATATATTATATGTACATACATGATTATATTATAAATAATGAGTACCCATATTTGTATGTACAGCTCTTCTGTCTTAGTACAAAAAAACGTTTTCACTAAGCTTAACTTCGCATTATATTCATAATGATATTCTTTTCAATATTGACGTTCTACAGAAACAACGAAGAATTTTATTTATTAGACAAAATTGAAGAACATTTTGGGTATTTCATTGCCCAGTAAATATCAGTAAAGCAAAATATTCATCAATTATTAACCCTTCTAGATTTAAATCCGGAAATATATATATATATACGTATATGTATATATATGCATATATATAGTGCCTGATTACATATATATATATGTATATACTGGAGTAAAACAGAGTATCACAATGTAATATAAACTTTAAAAAGTTGTTTCACAATTCATCAAAGCAATGGAAACTTCAATAGAAAGCTTGTACTTAGCTTTAAGTGACAAACTATATCTATATCTATATATATATATATACATATATATATATATATGCATATATGTCTATACTACAAAAGAAGTAAATTATAGCCATATAAAGTAGCATTGAGATAAATAAAATAATATAAGCATAGACAAAGAAATAAACTTTTTCTACTAAAAGTAAGCGAAGACTTTCTATTGTAAATATAATCCGCTATTTGTGTACAAGTTGAGAAAAGATGAAATACAGCAATTAAAGAATTAGAGATCTTCCTTCAAGTCTCTTAAATAATGATAACGCAGAATTAAATATACATATTCTTTTTAAATTAAATAAATTAAATAATTAAGTAAGTAAACAAATAAGTTAAAGATAAATAATCGATGGAAGCACAGAAGGAAGAATAAAAAGAATTTCAATGCATCAACGAAGAGGAAGCAGAAAATTAATAAATAAATACTCGATTCTCAACTTATCTGCACTTTACCGAGTATAGAGCAAACAACTAAATAATAAAGCATAATACTATAAGTAATACTAATAACTACTGATAATAATAGATAATAACACTAATACTAGTTCTAATAATAAGAATAATAACAATAAAAATAATTCTAATAATACTAATACTAATACTAATACTAATACTAATACTAATACTAATACTAATACTAATACTAATAATAATACTAATACTAATAATAATAATAATAATAATAATAAAATAGTGATAATACTACTACTAATAATAATACTACAAGTACCAATCATAATACTAATAGTACTCAAAATAATCATAATAACAGCTAATCGTAAAAACAATTAATGATAATAATAACAAATAATAACAATAAGTAATAATAGTAATAAGTAATAACGATAGTAACAATAATAAATAAATATAACAATAATAATAATAATAATAATAATAATAATAATAATAATAATAATAATAATAATAATAATAATACACTGAAGAACGACGACATGCCTTGCAACGAAGACGGAGCGATTTTGCTGCTCCTGCAAATAAATTTGCTTCTACTTTTCAAGTGTTTAAATGTATATAAATATATATATATATAGACATGTATATAGACATATATATATGCATATATATATACATAAGTATGTATAAACTATATATATATATATATATATATTTGTATATAAACTTATATATATGTATATAAACATATTCAAAGATATATATATATATATATCATTTTATGTATAATATATATGCCTATATAATATTAATTAGAATTAAATCATTTCTTTGTTGTCTATACATATAAACGCAACCCCCTAACTAATACACAACTAAAATAGTGAGAGAAAATAAAACTTACTATTTAAATATATATATTATATATATATAAACATATATGTATATATATATTATATATATCAAACGCACTCCACTGCTATAATAAAGGTCAACTGCTACAATACTGAGAAGAATAACCTTAAGCCTTCAACCCTCCTCCGAAAATTAAAAAAAACAAAAGTAAACTGCGGGGTCTGTTGATATATTTTATTTATTTTAATTTACAGCAAAAGGCTGACACTGCACCAACACAGAAAATCCTCTTGCAGTCTGTTTTCCTGCGAAGGGATCTCCCGAAATATATATTTACATATATACATATATGCGTATATATACATGCGTATATACATATGCATATATATATATATATTTTATATATATATATTAAACACATATATACAAGGTATGTGTATAAATAGACGCAAACGGCCTAGTCGCTGCAATAGACACAAAAAAGTATATATATACATTCATATATATAGTATGCATATATATAAATGCATATATATATATAAATGCATATATATAAATGCGCATATATATAGAGTTAAAAATTAGGTAGTTTAAAATCAATATTTAATCAGAAGATGACAATTTTCTATTTGGACTAATATATATTTTTGTGTTTACTTCTGTTGAGAGGAACAAGCAAAGGCGTTTACTGCGCGGCTTGAAGAGCATTAATGAGAGTATTATATTTTAAAATAAAGAATTGTTCTTTATTATGACTATTCATATAACCTTTCTTCGCTTGCTTATATTCTTTTTGAAGCCTTCTAAGGACGTCTGCTTGTGAAGGTGTTGCTGGCTGTGGTTCTTGTTCGTCTTGCTTCCTTTCCTTATGTTTTCTCCTTTTGTCTTTTCTTTTCTTCTCCTTTCTCCTCTTCTTGTCTTTTTTCTTCTTTTTACCTTCAAGAAAACTCGCGACACCCGCAGTGACCACCGGTTCCTTCATCTCTTCGATTCTTCCTTCTTCTGAAGGGGAGTCTGCATAAAAATCTGCATAATCTTCATCATTTTCAGGGCTTTGATGAGGAAATAAATCATTTAAATGATTTAAAGAATGTTGCGAAGCCCCTGAAGATGCAATTTCTGCGCCTAAGACCAACACGGCGACAGCCGGGGCAAGGATACAACCCAGCAGCCTCATGACGAGGGCTAGAAGGAGGTTTTTGGAGTTAAATAAGGGCTGATCTCTTGCAAAAGTGTAAATATTTTACTTATTTATTGCATAAAACAACAAGAAACAAAGAATTCAGCAGAGTTTTACCCTCCATTGAGCAGCACATCGCTGAACCTCAGCAGCCTGCGGCGACGGTGATTTCGCAGTATCGAAGGCGGCTGATAGACAGCCAGACAGCAGCAGCATCATAGGAAGAAGTGCAAAAAAATAAAAGTTTTTTGAATTATTTAATAGATAAATAGAAAAATAAACATTATTTCATTTGTTTTATATATTCTTTTGCTGCTTCTCTTGAGACGAGGGTTCGTTGCTGTATATATAGATGTATATTTATGCATTGTGCTGCTGGCGGGTGGCCTAGACAGCCAGCGATTATCCCTCTGCAGCACTTCTGCAGTAAATATGTTTATTTATTGTGTGACTATAACAATAAATCAATAAATTATATTTATTTGTTTCTAATTTGCTGGTGCTGCTCCCTTATGCATGCAATTAGAGTAAAACACATACATAGGGTGGCAGCTGCTGAAACAGCAAACCGAAGGACACACATTCCAGGGAAAATGAAGAAGAAAATAAATAAAAAAACAGCATATTGCCAGACACTTCAATCAATAAAACGCTGCTGTGATGAACCACCAGGCTGTCTACTGCTGCAGCTGCAGCAGCAGCAGCAACCCACACACCAGTACCAGCAGCCACAACAGCACCAGCAGCAGCACCAGCAGCACCAGCACCACCAGCAGCAGCAGCAGCAGAGGTGGAAGCTGCTTTTTTCTGGTTTCTGTTATTTCTGCTTTCCCTCTTTCTGATGCAGAAACATTTGTAGCTCTCACTGTGCGTTTAGGGGTTAGACAAGAAAAAAAACAAGTAAAGAGACAAAGGGGGGATCTTCTGTTGAAGGAAACTGACGGCGAAATCTTAAATAGAATAGACAAAACAATCAAATACATGCAAAATTTTAGTGTAGTGTTTAGTAGGAGATCTTCATTTGCTTCCCGTAGCAGCAAACGCAACAGATAAAATATTCCTTCTTAGCCTTGCTGCTGCTCCTCGCCTCCTTCTGCTCCTCCTGGTGCTGCTGCATTTTCCCTCTGTAGTGCCTCAACAATGGCCTGGTATTTAAGCACATCATATTCTGCCTCAGTATGATTTTTTAGATATATTTTCTTCTCTTCCTTCGCCTGTTTTTCTAGTTTTTTCGCTTTCTTTTTGAGTTTCTGCTCTTTGGTTTTTCTCGTCTTCGCACTCTGTGCAGCGAATCTGCAGTCGTCTTCTAGACAATGCGAATAGCGTTTTCTTGCTCTTGCTTTGTGAGAAAGTTCAATAAAACGAGATGCAGAGGAAGGCGGAGCTGCTTCTGCCTCCACGCCTTCTTCGGCTAACTCCACAGACACCGGCTCAGTGCCTCCAGGTCTCTTCATCAACAGCGAAAGACAACATTCAGCTGAGAGCAACGCTAGTAAAGTGACAATACATATTCTTCCACGCATCTTCTTTAAAGATAAACGTAAGATGGGTGCAGCTAGGGCAGTCGCCTGCTGGTAGAAAGAGGCCCGGCTGGTAAAGCCAGGGGCAAGGAGTTTAGAAGGGAAAAAAAGAAGAAAAAAATGAATTATTACTTTTATTTCTGTATTTTAATGCTTATAGTTTAGGGTTTAGGGATTTGAAAGCAGCAATGCACGCATTCACAATCAGCAGAAACAACCCGAAGGAAGTGCGGAGGCGATGCTGAACCACCGCAAGTTGGGGGTAAAAAGCAGGGAAATATTGTAGAATGAAGAATCCTAAAAAAGTCAAAAGAAATATAAAAATAAATGCATTTATATTTGAATGAAAGAATATAAAGAAGATATTTTTCTGATGTAACGAAGCCGTTGTTGCGGTGGTGCTGATCTCGACCGGGTGTACAGACCCCCCAACGCCCAGACCATTGCTTCCTCAGCACAATATTCTAGGAAACATTTTTTGAAATAGATTAAAAAAGAGAAATAAACAAATAATTCAAGATATTAATATAATTAAATCTCAATTTTTCACTTATTTTACCTCTTCTTGCTCCCTTTCTTCTGCCTTTCAGTGGTGGTGTTGTCCACTGTGTGTAGTTGGGTACAGAGAAAAGAGAAAAAAAATGAAAAAAGCCCTGCCTTCTATAAGTTTTATATAAGCTATGCAGTTAGTCTTTTATTGAACATTTTAATTTTATATTTGCATATTTAATAGTTAGAGAAGCTCAATCAGCGGTTGCTATCAATACACAACACAGTGGCTGGGGGTAGCTGATGAGAGCGACAACTCCTCTCTAAGTAAATAAATATATATGCATTTCTGGGTATCTGAATGCATTCATTAAATTTGTTTAAATGCACATAAGACGAATTTTACCTTCATTTTAAGTTTCTTTCCTTAATAAGGTGTGAGTGTTGCAGTGTATGTACGCTAATCTTCAGCTGTCAGGCGCCACTGAAGAAACCCTCATGCCTTTTAATTGAAATAATATTTAAATTAAATGCATAGAAAAGAAAAACAAAGATGCAGCTGCAATTAAAAGTTTACTCTCGCTCTCCCTCATATATATTTTCTATTTATACGTATGTACATACATATAAATATGTATTTATATATGTATATATATACATATATATACACAAAAATATTTTATTACTACACGGCAGAGCCCTAGTTGAGCGACATTTGTGCAGACGGATAAATTCATCAAAGGGTGCGCTTGTGTGTTTGTTTTTCTTTGTTTTTCTTTGTTTTTCTGTGTTTATACTTTTAAACAATTAACTCGTTGTTCTTTAAACTCAATAATATTCACAGCTTGATGTTATTAGCGGAAATTAAATAAATTAAATTAGTTTTCAACTTTGTTATTATTATTTATTATTATTATTATTATTATGCCGTTATTTGTAGCTGCAGGCGGTGCTTTGAATTATTCTTTTAGAGTGCCTCCCTTTAAGCAGAAGGTGATGCTGTGAAAAAGAGTAAAAGAAGAAAAATATAGTTTCATTTATATATTTAATTTATATTAAATACTATGCAAAGCGGTGTGCATGCATTGAGGGTTTTATTAAGGGCAAGATACACCCAGTTATTCTCAACACAACAAAGTTTCTTCTTGAATAAATATATTTAAATATCTGCAAATACAGGTAAATACAAATATAAATATAAATATAAATATAAATATAAATATAAATATAAATGTAAATATAAATATAAATACAAATATAGGTATATATATATATATACATAGACAGAACGTAATGGAATGCTGTTGT